CAGAACCAGGGGCTCCATTCTTCCCTTTCCACCTTTTACATACAACCGCACCTCCCACATGCAAATACCTATTATGCATCAGATGAAACCACAGCATACATGTACTTAAAGTCATATGCCATTCCCTTACCATGAATCTTATCCACATGAACATGAATTGTGTATTGTTTTGTTAGGTAGACTACGTGTTTTGTTAGGTAGACTACCGTAGGACTGGGGGATGTCTGTTAACAGATGCACAGAGGCACAAGCTACGGGAACAAAGGAGTTGTGCACTGCACTTGCCCAGGGGCTCAGGTTTCTTGCTGGTATCTATGTGTGGGCATGAAGCTGAATTGGCCCATCTAGGCCAGGTAAATTCAATTCAGCCAATGGGGTCGATCAGGGGTCATCCACCATGCCTCCTGTTGGAATTCTTGAAAAGGCAGGAGCCTGAGGAACTTTAGCAGAGAACTTTAGAGGCAGAGCTTTGGGAGAACATTGGAGGAACTTTGGGACACTTTTGCGTGGCGTCGAGCAGTTTCCAGACAAGCTGTATGCTCGGGAGGAGACCCTCAGGTGCTGTGTAAACCTGAAACTTCTTCTAACTCTTATAAAACTCACCTGGGTTACAAACCAGGCTTCGGTGTGAATTATTTCTCACGCGGAGCCAAGGGCCGAGGTATATATAGCTACAGAGAGATTTAACATATATCCATCACTCGGATATATAAGGTAAGCCAGCTCCAGAAACGGGCCTTCCCATCCTGGTCTCACTGGTTCCGGGCACCTTCTGGACTCTTTTCAACTCACCACCCTAGGGAAACAGCATGTAGCTGGAAAGGAAGCCAAGCTTAACTGCTCCAGCAACATCTGGGAGGTGGCTGGCTCCCCGAAGCGACTCATGGGGACACTCATAATGTATTGCCACAGCCCCATTCTTTTGTGTCAGTCTTCTTGCCTATTCTTGCTGGTGTTCAGGATTTTATATCTGTGTTTGCCTTTACAGGAGTTTGCATGCATTCCCCAGGCTGGATTTCTGGGTGGGGGCTGGGATGCTGATGTCTGCAGGCCGGGAGGATTGTGATTCCCAAAACCATTTCACTTATCAATGGTCTCTTTTGTGCTCTGGCCAGCTGGATGGCTGGGCGCGCATGCATAAACTCTGTCAGTTCCTGCAGGACTTTGGCTCTGGTTGTCCTCATTCTGACTGTCCTCTAGGTCATAAGCTGTGGCTGCCATTTTCCAAACCACGTGAGTCACCGCTCCCTGGCAGCATGGCGCCACCTGGTGTCCGCCATATTGGCTGTGGGGTAATGGAACATGTGACCTGGTCAAGATGGTTCCCACTACTCCAACTACGTGGAGGGGCAGTGCCTAGATAGTTAGCTGGTTTCTTAGGCCTGGGAGATAGCCCTTGCTCTAGTCCCAGGAGCTGAGTGCTTCCCTTTTCCCCTCCATTCCCTTTAACTTTCTCCTGGTTTTTCAAACAAGCTGCTTTAGTGTGCTACCAGTGTGGGTTTGTTCCTGCTACTGGCTGGCTTTCTGTTGGCCAGGCCCAGGCCAAATGCATATGGAAGTCAACCCTGAGTAACTGTTGACTTTCACCTTTCAGCGATGCTGCCTTCAGCATTTTCTGGGACAGGTTCTTAATACAGCTCTGCCACCAAGATGTTCTAACCAGAATTTCTGATTCCTTAAAGGTTTCTCGAGCTGTTGGATAGACGTCCCTTCCCTTCAGAGATTTGACGGTTTGCTCCTGCTGGCAGGTGTCTTTGAAGGCCATGGGGCCACATTATGCAGTGCCCCCCCTAGCGTGTTGTCTAGAAAACAGTCGGACAAGAATTTTGGCTGCAGAGACTGGTCTTTGACCCCTTCTAAGGTGTCACCCTTATACACCTGTCTAAGGCCTCAGACTCACAGCACTCCAGATGTGTGCATTGAGCTGCGGTTATTGACCTTGAGACATCAGGTCTCAATAACCTTACTTTTTATGTCTTTTCTAGATGGAACTTACCAGCTCGATAACCAGGAATTGCCCCTTAAGATGTATCCTGTTCAATTGGGAAAGATTTGATCCGGAAAAGCTGGACAAAAAGAAGCTGCTTATGAAGTGCAACTCTATTTGGCAACAGTATGTTCTAGAGAAAAGAGAGTCATGGCCAGCCAGTGGTACACTTCCCCTTCCACCCCTACAACAGCTAGAACATTTTTTTAAATGATGGAGAGGTGGTCGGAGATGCCGTATATTAAAGCATTCTTCCTTTTGAAGAAGAACAAAGATCTTCATTCCTAGTGCACTCAGGACCCCTTAAAGGACCCTGGACTTAAGGGAAATGAAGCAGCCCTGAATATTCTACCTATAGTAGAGGCATCAGGACAATTTGGTCCCCAGGCAATTTACAAGCCTTTTACTCTGATTGAGCTCAAGAAAATTAAAAATGACTTAGGCAGTTACTCTAACAAACCTGAACAGTACATAGAACACTTCCAGCACCTCACCCTAGCCTATGATTTAACCTGGAAAGATGTAATGGTCATACTGGGACAGACTATGACAGAGTTTGAGAAAGAACAAGTGCTCAAAAGTGCTAGGAAGTTTGCAGAGGAGTTACTTGTGATGAGTGAAAAGTACCCTGTAGGGAAACAGCTGTACCCTTAATAGGCCCCGCTTGGGAATCATAGTGAGCCTCAGGACAAGTGGGCATGGGAACATTTCCTGGTGTGCATCACAAGTGAACTAAAGTCAGGTAGGCAAAAGGCCATTAATTATGCCAAGGTGACAGCGATTCACCAGGAACCTACAGAGTCTCCTGTAAGCTTTCTAGAGTGGTTAAAGAAACCCTAAAGAATGATACTGCTGCCCAGCTATAAAAAAATATAGCATCTGGGGTCTTAAAGGCTTAAAGGTAATCGAGCGGCCATCAAGCTCAGAAGCAACAAAG